CCTGATGACATGAGCAGTGAAGACTGAGATGATAAAAAATTGTAGTAGCGCCTTGCATGGGCTACGTTTTGATAATGTTTTGTTTTGGTATTGTTTTGGTATTGTTTTATGTGAAGTACATTGGGCTTCTTTAGAAGCGAATTACTAGAATTAATATATCAGTGGCAACATTTGATTTCTGTTTAAGTTCTCTACAGATAGATAAAATTTTTGCAAGCTATTAGTTGTTAGCAAATGTGGTGTGAAGTAGGATAAGTTATATAAAACGTATATCATGACTTGCGTAACCATAAGAAATTTGAATCTGGGTGAATTTTATTAACTGCGTTGTAGATTTGGCCAAGTTTGTTAACATTGGCTCATACTTGACCAATTTCGCTAACATTGGCTCAAACTTGGCCAATTTTGTTAACATTGGCTCAAACTTGGCCGTTACCATTGGCTCAATCTTGGCCAAGTTCATTAAGTATAAGGCTCAAACTTGGCCAATTTTGTTAACATTGGCTCATACTTGGCCAATTTCGCTAACATTGGCTCAAACTTGGCCAAATTTGTTAACATTGGCTAAAACTTGGCCGTTACCATTGGCTCAATCTTGGCCAAGTTCATTAAGTATAAGGCTCAAACTTGGCCAATTTCATTAATTAGTAGGCTCAAATTTGGCCAATTTCAATAATTATTAGGCTCAAACTTGGCCAATTTCATTAATTAGTAGGCTCAAATTTGGCCAATTTCAATAATTATTAGGCTCAAACTTGGCCAATTTCATTAATTAGTAGGCTCAAATTTGGCCAATTTCAATAATTATTAGGCTCAAACTTGGCCAATTTCATTAATTAGTAGGCTCAAATTTGGCCAATTTCAATAATTATTAGGCTCAAACTTGGCCAATTTCATTAATTAGTAGGCTCAAATTTGGCCAATTTCAATAATTATTAGGCTCAAACTTGGCCAATTTCATTAATTAGTAGGCTCAAATTTGGCCAATTTCAATAATTATTAGGCTCAAACTTGGCCAATTTCATTAATTAGTAGGCTCAAATTTGGCCAATTTTGTTAACATTGGATTAATTGCAAGTAATAATTTCAAGTAATTTCGGAGACAGAAATGCTAACAGTGAAGTAGAATAAAAAGAGAAAGAACTAAGGTAAGAGAAGAGATGATGTATAATGTATATTATAAGATTGGAAATCAAATACATCTCTCCTACTTCCTCAGGCATGCCTCGTTAAAACCTCTTCAGCCAAAACCCTTTCTTTTTTATTGGGAAAAAAGACTGAAGTAGGAAAAAGAGTACAATACCTGGGTTTACAACATTTCAACTATAATAAAATTTCAGATAAGTAGCATTCCAAGTTCTTGGGATAACTTTGCCACCCAACTCTATGAGTCTGTATGCACCATTTTGTAGACATTCCAAGATACAGAATGGACATTCCCAATTAGCTGCGAATTTGCCCGCTGATATGTCTTTTCTAGCGTCTCTGACAGCTCTCCAAACAAGGTCCCCTTCTCGGAACGATCTCGGCTTAAGCTTGGAATTGTATCTCCGAGATGCTCTGAGTTTGCATGCCTCTTCTTGAACTCGGGCGCCCTCTCTGGCTTCATCTATGAGGTCGAGATCGGTTCTTAGGGCTTCCATATTTTGAGTTGCATCGAAAGTTAATCTTCGGTGACTTGGTTCCCCGACCTCCACTGAGATCATAGCATCGGATCCATAAGTCAATCTGTATGGGGTTTCTTGAGTGGTGGTCTGTGGTGTGCAATGATAGGCCCATAAAATACCAGGGAGCTCGTACACCCATTCTCCTTTTGCCGAGCCAAGCCTTTTCCTGAGTTCTCTAAGAATAACCTTGTTGGCAGCTTCAACTTGTCCATTCGTTTGTGGATGTTCCACCGAGGTAACTTTGTGATTGATTCCGAGTTGCCCCAAAAATTACTCAAAATTTTTATCAACAAACTGCTTGCCATTATCGGTGGTTATAGCATGAGGTAAACCGTACCTACAGATAATTTTCTTCCACGTGAATCTTTGGATATTGGGCGCAGTAATCTTGGCTAAAGCTTCAGCCTCAATCCATTTTGTGAAGTAATCAATGCCAACTAATAGGAACTTTAGTTGACCTTCGGCTACTGGAAAAGGACCAAGGATATCAATCCCCCACCAAGCAAAGGGCCATGCTGACTGCATTGAATGTAGAGTTGTCGGAGGTAACTGGTGTAGATTGCCGAACTCTTGGCAGGCTTTGCATTTCTGCACATATGACTTACAGTCTAATACCCGACTGATGAAGTATATGGGAGTTTGTGTTTTGGCATTCTCTTATACCAGTGTTGAGCTAATAGCATTGTCAGCCACTGCAAGGTATAATAGGAGATCAGCTTGGTAAGTCGGTTTGGATAAGATGGGGGGAGCTGACAGGAATTGCTTGAAGTTGGTGAAAGCTTGTTCACATTGGTCACTCCAGCAGAATTCTTTTGGCTTTTTAAGTAAATGAAAGATAGGCTTGGCCTTTTCTGCCAGCTTCGAAATAAACCGAGATAATGAAGCAAGTCTTCCTGCCAACCTCTGCACCTCTTTGTAATTTTTTGGACTTCTCATATTGATCAACGCCTGACATTTGTCGGGATTTGCTTCAATTCCTCTACAGGTGATCATAAATCCCAAGAATTTGCCTCCATGAACCCCGAAAACACATTTTTCCGGGTTTAATCTCATGTTGTGCTTGCGAATTTGCTTGAAAATTTCCTCCAGATCTCGGACATGATTATCAGGGGATTTTGTCTTGATGACCATGTCGTCAACATACACCTCGAGATTACGTCCGATCTGATTGGCGAAGACCTTGCCCACGAGTCTTTGGTAGGTGGCTCCTGCATTCTTGAGTCCAAAGGGCATGACATGGTAACAATAATTGGCTTGTTCCGTGATAAAGGTAGTGTGCTCTTCATCGGGGGGGGACATCCAAATTTTGTTATACCCTGAATAGGCATCTAGAAAACTGAGCATGGCATACCCTGAAGCTCCATCAACCAATCTGTCAATACTGGGAAGTGGATAAGCATCTTTTGGACAGGCTTTATTCAAATCAGTGTAATCAACGCACATACGCCATTTGCCATTAGATTTTTTAACCATTACCACATTGGCTAACCAAGTGGTGTATTTGATTTCTCTGATGAACCCGACATTCAAAAGCTTTTGCGTTTCGGCCTTGACTGCTTCCCTTCTTTCACCGCCAATTTTTCTTTGCTTCTGAGATATAGGTCGTGCCTCTCTGTGGATGGCTAACCGATGACAAATGAAATTGGGATCTATCCCAGACATATTTGCACTACTCCATGCAAAAAGATCAGCATTTTCATAAAGTATTGACATGATTTTACCTTGGACATCAGGTTCGATATGTTTGTCAATCTTGGTGCATTGGTTGGGCTTCTTGCCAATCTGAAACTCAATCAACTCGTCAATGGGATCAGGTTGGTGGTCATGCATATCAATTCGGGGATCTAAGTCGGCCATTTCCCTTGTACCGATGTGAGCAATGACAGGAGAAGCTGACACCTCGGGTTGACGATTTAGGGGTGTAATCTTCAAACTTTCAGCATAGCATTTCCTTACAATTTTTTGATTAGCCTTTACAGCTATTATGTGTCCATCAGTGTCTGGGAACTTCATAGTTAGATGAAGTGTTGATACGACTGCTCCTAATTGATTCAACGTTGGTCTCCCGATAAGGATGTTATAAGAGGTGGCAGCATCAACCAGCAAATATTTCACCAGGATTCTCCTTGAGTTTTGAACTGTGCCAAAAGAAGTTAGTAATTCAATAAAACCACAAGTATGAACTCGCTCACCTGCGAACCCGACGAGAGACTCGGAGTATGGTTAAATCATACTGTGAGGAATGTCAAGCTTCAACATTTTTTGGACCTCCCAATTGGCCACCTCAACTGAGATGACCATTGGATCGTCTTGGTTCAAACTGATACCTTCATAGTCATCATCTGTGAAAATGATAGGAGGGGTTGGAGTTTCTGACTTAGATCCCGAGTTATGCAAATTGTTGACGTTTTGGACAATGCGTAGATGTCGCTTCCTGGCTGAGTTAGAACTTCCTCCTCCTGCAAACCCTCCAGGGATGGTATGGATGACGCCACGTATGTTATTTCCCTCTGAGGATTTATCCATATGCTGCGGGTCAGCGCTGTTTGTACTTGGTTTGCTCTCCTCGCGCGTGTTTGTTTGATGAAAATGGCTTTGTTCAGATCGTCCTTGATAATTCTGATATCGTCCTTGATATCGGCCAGGAAATCTGCCACGTCCTCTTCCACGTCCTCGGAAGCCCCCACGAGAAGTTTGGCCGCGTTGGATATATTGTCCAAGTTGGCCAGCTTGAATGAGTTCCTCAATTTGATCTTTGAGGCTCCAGCATTCATTTGTTGTATGTCCGTGATTTCTATGATAACGGCAATGCTTGCTCTTATCAGCGTTGACCGGATTGTGTGCCGATGGGGGTAGAGAGATCAAATCTGCATGGTTAGCTTCCTCCAAAATGTTAACACGAGGAGCATTGAGAGGTGTGTAAAATTCATACCTAGGGCCTCGTGATTGACGAGGTCTTTTTGATCTTTGATCAATATGAGCCTTTGAGCTTTCCCTGGTACTAGACTCGCCCTTAGTGGTGAAACTGTCACGGATAGAGTTACGAAACTCGGCATGTTCCTCCATTTGAATATAGCCAGCTGTACGTGCTCTGAGTTCATCCATGCTTACCGGCTGATGTCGGCAAAGACTGTCAACAAATGGCCCAGGTTTGAGTGCCATAAGCATGAAATGAAGGGCGACCTCCGAATTAAGATTGCAGATTTTTATAGAAACGTTGGCAAAACGTTCCATAAAATGTCTCAAAGACTCATCATCTTGTTGTCGCAAATTTGAGAGCGCGGCTGATGTGATATGATGTGGTCTGCTAGTGGCATATTGGGCGGAGAAAAGTCATACCAAGGTGTTGAAGTTGTCAACCGATCTGGATGGCAGTTGGGTGTACCAACTAAGAGCGGCGCCTTTGAGGGAAGTCGGAAATACACGGCACATGATGGCATCGCCGTTTGTGTAAAGGTTGATTTGAGTGATATAGGCATCGATGTGCTCATCGGGGTCTGTAGTGCCATCATATCGCTCAATATTCAACGACTTCCAGGTAGTTGGAAGGGGAACTTCCATGATTCCATCAACAAAGGGGTGTCGACGAACCGAGTGGTGATCGTCAACCGGACGACTGATATGGGTATGTTCGGAACGATGAGTCCGAGTTGGGTTTGATGAATAAGTAGGATCTGGGGAAGAATGATGTTCTTCGGTGGCAGGGGAGACATGACTGGCATGATGTGTGTGTGGTGGCTGATGTTGCTGCCATTGAGTTCTGAAAGCAGCATGCTCAACATGCATTTGTTGGAGATCGGCTTCATGTTGCTTACAAAGATTCTCCATTGCTTCTGCATGTTACTGTCGCATCAATTCTATCTGCTCGAGTAACCGTCGTAGAACCGGATTGTCTTCCATATTTGATGTGTTTCTATGAGCTGTACTCGTCGCTGTGTTGGCTTGGCTTCGGGTTGAAACCATAAGGATGACGAAGGAAATTTTTTACCAAGCCCTCCTTCTAGCGCCAGATGTACTTACACGAATCAGGTTGGACTCTTAACTCGGATAAGTCGTCTTCCTGGTTCTGGTCCAACCAAGATCGTATGAGATCGGTCGCTGGGGTGTCTCCTCTCTCTCTGATCTCCTTGTTCGAGCGTCTTGGAGGTACCTGCAAAAAGGACTCCGAAGATAAGTTAGTAGTGTGTCCAATCTGGTGTAATGCTTATATCACTACCTTTCGTGGTTTTCCGAGTAACCGTGTAACTGCTGTATAGTTATTTTCTGAGGGGTATCCTCGATTGAGTCGTGTTTGGTGTTGTTAATGTGCCGAGGTGTATCACTGATCTCGCTTGTCTGATGTGACACCTCGGTGTTAAATATATTTACTTTAGTTGGACTAGATTAAGTAGTGACCTCGGTCGAGCTCGTCTGATGGGATCGATTGAGCTCGACTTTGAGCCAGGTTGGTACAACACGTTACACACTTCTCATGTAATTCGCCAAGTGTCTTTTGTTTTTTAATTTAATTTAATTCAAATATCATTGTAAAAATAAATTGTTTTTGTCATCTTTTGTGGAAAAAAGTCATTTTACTATCCCAGAAATCAAATAAAAATTCAATTATAGTAAAATTGGATCTATGGTTAATTTTTATATGTTAATAAGAAAACAATCTTGATTATAGTTTTTTCAGGACGATTATTGTTTTATTTAGTACTATAAAATTGAACTTTTTTGCATTTATCGTGCAAAACATAGTTTAAGAGTTAGATGCTTGATTTTCTTTGAGTAAATTTTGCATTCAAATCATTTGTACAAAGAGTTTTTTTATTTATTTATTATTATTATAATATTATCGATATTTTAATTTAAATAAATAAAGTCTTATATCATCATTCACCAAATTCATGCGCGCACATGCCTATATCAACATCTCTAAACATCAACATCTCATCTCATACTACAAAATCACTATTATGCTTAAACAACTAGTCAAAACTACATCAACATACAACATGCACAGAGGTAAGTACATTTCAAATCCACATCTCCATGATCCAATCCAAATCCATATAAACAACATATACA